TCACATGCTGAAAATAATGACAGGCTATTAGATTCTCTTACAATACTAAAGGGAAGAATATCTGGTGGAAGCATGGCAATTCATTTCGAGGAAGGGAAAACATGCAAAGTAACACTGGGCAGTTTTGAAAGAGGAGTACTCAAAGAAAGAGCGTCCTTTAAAGCAGTAATTAAGAATGTTCCAACAACAGCTGTCGAAGTGCTGCTCCTGCATCAGTTGAGGGTAGTAAATGCAAAAGCAGTATACATCTCACATAATAAAAATCAAAATCAATAACGCATAGCGACAGTGTATTTTGGTTCATATGAAGAATTAGAGGCAGCATTAGTAAGGAAGGTATATTATTTTGACGTTAAGCTGGAGTGGATCAATATATAGAATAAAAGTAGAAGAGATATAGTTAAAAAAGAGACAAATAATAGGGGAGTCAAGTCTCAAGTTGCTAAGGCAGCAATGAGTAAAGGTAGAAAATGGAAGAGACAGCAACCAGCAGAAAGGGTGTTTACAAGCAGTGCTGTGAGCAACAAAGAAAACAGTAATCCCAAGGTTGAAGGACCGACATCAAAGCCAAAAAAAAAACAAGTCCAAGACCTAAATGAAGAGATTAAACTCAAGTTCTAATTTAAAAGTATCTTTGATGAAATACTTGGTAGGCTTGACAGAATCGAGAAAAGTCACTTAGGGGCTTCAGGCCCCAATCACTCCTAAAGTTGCCATGGGCATGTTCAAATGAACTGAGAGGCTACAACACAATTTGAATGCCCGGCAAGGTAGTACCCTTAGTAGTAGTATGGGCAATAGAGGTGCAGTGATAGAAAAGTTGAAGAAGTGTTGGGCCAACATGGCATGCTACAACATTAATGGTATAAGAGGCAACAAAATTAAATTGAAGGCAATTGCAGAGTGGGCATGTGAAAACGAGATTGATTTATTGGGCTTAGTTAAGACAAATTTGAGTGAAAAAGAGTTAAGGTTTAGCTTGGATGAGGTAAATATGAAGGGTTTTTGGTCTCAATACAAAGTAACAAAAAGATAAGGTTCAGGCGTTGGTTTGCTAGTTGGTCCAAGTTGGGAAAAGCATTTGGGTCAGGTGTGTAGATTTGAGGAGTAAATATTAGAGGCCCGGTTTTACTTTAAACAGACAGTAGTAGTAGTAATGGTAGTCTATTTGCTACCAAGTGACAAAATATTGATTAATAGGGTTCAGCAAAAGGTTATAACAAGCTTTATACAGAGAACAAGCAATATGCAATTTGTAGTAATGGGTGATTTTAATCATGTAGTAGATAGAGAATTAGATAAATGTAGTAACAGGCTTAGTATGGTATCCAAGGTGCTTCCTTTGAATAAATGGTTTAAAAACCAAGGTTTTGTTGATACATTTAGAATAGTTAATCCAGATCTGATAAAGTACTCTTGGTCTGGTCAAGGGGTTGAGACAAGAATTGTTCAGATTTGGGTTTCTGAAGATTTAAAGTATGGAGTACTAGCAGCTGATATTGTAGAGGCAGACATGATTACGGCAAGTGATCATACAATAGTAACAGCTAATATTACAATGAAGCATGTAGTCCAGTTGCATAGTGCAGCAGCTAAGAGAAAGAAAGAAATATCAAGGAATATCTATCTGTATGATGAAGCAACAAAAGAGGATTGGAAATAGTATCAAGAAGATTTGGTAAAGCTAACTGTGGACAATCGAGCACTCACAAGATGTTGGACTCTGTCTACACCCGACAAACTCAATTTAATTTGGGACATTATAGCAGGTGCAATTCGGAGAGCAGCAGATAAAAATATTCCGAAGAAGAAAGTATCTAGTAGTTCAAACAATAGAATGAGAAAGTGCAAGCCAACCAAGTTGCACAAGAGCATAGTCAAACTAGGTAAAATAATCCAGAGGGTTAAGAAAACTGTAACTGGTGGGGATCAGTCGATTGATATTGAGATGCTTAATAAAGAGATCGAGCAGATTAATAACATGCACCAAGCAGATATACCTGGGCTAAGTTGTAAAGTATACGAAAAAGAGACATTGTATAAGTGAGTATGTAGTGCAAAACTGTGCTGGAAAGCAATGCGGATGCAAGAAAAAGTTGAAACAGATAAAGCTATGTGTAAAAAAATAGATGCTGCAATAACTCAAAGGTATGAAAGAATTGATGGTGAAGTTGGTTTAATGTTAGCAAGTATTTTAGACAAGCCATTCAGAAAGATTAAAATAGATCGAGTGTTAGAAAAAGAGGACAGAAAGTAGATGATGTATAATGAAACAAATGAGGTGCTTTTGAAGACAACAGCACACTTTTAAAAGCAGTTCAAAGAGAGAGAAGTGTGTGAGGACAGAGAAGTGCTTGAAAAATTCTATACACCACTCGAGGATGTAAAAGAGGAGTGGTATGTGGAGCTTGAAAATGAAATCACACTCGACGAATGGTTAGCAGCAATTGAAAAAACCAAAAACAAAACTGCACCTGGAGCTACTGGAATCAGATATACATTAATCAAGAATGCCAGTATCGAAGTTCATAAAATATTTCGAAGATTCGCAAGCTTGTGCTTAACAGAAAGTAGAAT